ATCTAAGTATATATATATATATATATATATACATATATATATATATATATATATGTATGTATATGCTCTGGTGATGGTGTTAAGACAAATGTTTGTTTGTAAGAAAATGAAGTGGAAGTAAAATCGGTAGAAGCAAACAAAACCCGAAAATAATATTTTATTATTATTAATTAATTAATTATTATATACATTATTATACAGAAAGATAAAATATAATTATATAGCTGCTTTTTAGTTTGAAGCAAATAAAAACTCTAAATAATATATTATTCAATAACACACAAAGTGCTTTGTAAGGTGATGATGCTGCTGTTGCTGCTGCTGCTGCTGCTGCTGCTACTGCTGCTGCTGCTGTTGCGGTTGCTGTTGCTGCTGCTGCTGCTGCTGTTACTGCTGTTGCTGCTGCTGTTGCTGCTGCAGCCGCTGTTTTTGCTGTTGCTGCTGATGTTGTTGTTGCTGCTGCTGCTACTGCTGCTGCTGCTGTTGCTCCTGCTGCTGCTGCTGTTACTGCTGCTGCTGCTGCTGTCTTTCTCACCAGCACAACAATGAAGAAGATTAAAATACAGCAGGGTCTGGGAATAGTCTTCCAGTACTCTGAATAAATAAACAAAACAGACGAAAATAAATAAAATATATGTACATTTATTTAAAGATATAAAATAATAAATATTATCTTCTATCTCCAACACAATAGGGTATTAAACAAAAGAAAAAAACACAAATAGCTAAATAAATATATTAAAAGATAAAATAAATATTATTATAAAAATAATAATATTTATTATTTTTATAATAATAATAATAAATATTATTATTTTTATAATAATATTTATTTTATCTTTCTTTACAAACAAACAAACAAACAAAACAAAGAGCATCTTCAGCAAAACAACATGTATTTAAAAGCTGACAAGACATAATTCTTTTTATTCTTTCTCTTACCAACACAATAAGGGATAAGAGCACCCATTAGGCTGTACATTGCCCCTGAAGAACCGACAGTAATGTTGCAGGGGTCTGCGACTGCCGACAGCAAATTGCCGCTCAAACCGCCGATAAAAAATAATAAAGCAGTACGCCAAAACCCCCAGTCCTGAAACAAATATATAAACATATATATATATATTATATATTATATATTATATATTTATATTAGTTAATATGTTTATATTATATATATATTATATGTATATAATAAATGTATATATGTAGATTGAGAGAGGTATTTAGAGGTATATATGGATATTTATAAGTATTTATTCGTATAGATATATAGGTATATAGAGGTGTACATAGGTGTATATATGTATATATATATATATATATATAGGTTTATATATATATACATATATAGGTTTATATATATATAATGTTCTATGTACGTTAAGATATATACATGTATATACGTATACATATACACACATACATGTACATACATATATATATATATAGATATATTTTTATATTTATGTATTTATATATTTATATATTTATATATATTTATAGCTAATTATATATATTTATAATAAGTATGATTACCGGTTCTAGCATCCACAGGCTTTGTATTTGGCAGAGTAGATTGATAAGAATATGAAGAAAGCCGCCGTGTAGATACATTGAAGAGAACAGACGAAATGTCTCGCCGTAGTTCCGAATATAATTTGTTTCAAGACCCCCGAAAACAGATAATATGCGGCTATTAGGTGCATCCCAGGAAGCAGAAGATGCACCGCTTGCACCGTTCTTTACTAGAGCAGTTGGATAGCCTTTATCGGATGCTCTGCTTCCTACTGCAGCACGAGGATATGCTAACTCTCCTAAATTATACTGACAAGCACCATACCCATAACGTATCACCATTGGAGCCCTCTCAGACTCCTTCTCTAACTTATAATCTGGATATTGAACGCTGCTTACACAGCGACCGTTAAAACTCGTATAGTTATATAATAATCTGCAAGCATTGCACACAAGAAACAGAAATCAAAAAGAAATATATATAATATATATATGTAGGTGGCCCTCCCCTCCAATCCTAAACCCTAAATAACCCTAAACCCTAAACCCTAAACCCTAAACCCTAAACCCTAAACCCTAAATCCTAAATCCTAAACCCTAAATAACCCTAAACCCTAGACCCTAAATAACCCTAAACCCTAAACCCTAGAGGTTGGTATTGTTTCTTACTCCCAAATGAATAGCCAGATGAGTAGGGCTGATGTGCTGATGCAGACAACGAGTCTGCCTCTCAATGGGTTGTTGAGAAGTTTAGGGTCTTTAACTTTTCTTCGTCTTTTTCTGTTTTTTCCTATGCCTATTCTTGCAAGCCAAGGCGAATGAAGGGGATTAACAGGTGCACGGCGCTGCACTTCTCCAGAAGGCAGTGTATGCAGTGCTGCTTCATCAACAACAGGGCAGTCTGCAGCAGCAACAGCAGCAGTAGCTGCTGCTGTTGCTTCTGCTACTGCTTCTGCTGCTGCTTCTGATGCTTCTGCTGCTGCATCCATAGCTTCGTTCGCTGCTGCAGAAACAGCAAACGGCGCTGCTGCACCTGCAGCACCAACAGCAGGAGCAGCAGGAGCAGCAGCAGCAGGAGCAGCGGCAGGAGCAGCAGCAGGAGCAGCAGCAGGTGCAGGAGGAGAAGGCGGAGGAGCAGCAGGAGTAACAGCAGGAGGAGCAGCAGCAGCAGGAGCAGGATGTGAAGCAAGAGGAGCGGGAGGGGGAAGTCGCGGTGCCTGCAAATGAAGAGAAACGCAAAGCAACGAGCTGCATGTACACCCCAAATGTAGACGGATTTATTGCATTTATTTATTTTTATTCAGCAGCACAAATAAACCTCAGAATTTGTTGCCGAAGAATAAAACTAAAAACTTTTGCTTCAAAGTAATTCGCAATAAAAAACCCTGCAAACCCTTTCTTTCCACGTGCAAAGCATACACCCTAAACCCTAAACCCTAAACCCTAAACCCCTAACCCTTAACCCCTAACCCCTAAACCCTAAACCCTAGCCCCTAACCCCTAACCCCCAACTCCTAAACCCTAAATCGTTGTAGGAGGCAATGGTTGTTTGTTGGTGCACATACAAATAAGTAAATATATATATAAATATATAAATATATATATATATATATATGTTTATAGATCTTACGTTGCTTGGAGACATAGGGGGGCTGAGTGCCTGGGCTTTGGGTGTATGTATAGAGTGCGAAGAGGCTAAAGGAGATTTTCTGCCGTTGACGTCTGCTGCTGCACCTCCTTGAGGAGTGCTGCTGATGGGGGCAGTGTGAGGACTCTCCGCCCCCAAAGGGAATACTGCAATAAACATATACATACATATATATATATATATAGTTTATATATATGTGTGTTTAGATATATATATATATATATATATATATATATATATAT